CTGAGGTCCAATCTCTGCACCATTGTGGTTGTAATTAAGAGGAAGCGATTGGTAAAACCATGTTCGCCAATTTATAGCCAAGTGTTTACAGAGTAGGTTTTATCAGATTTTTATGAAATCTACGGCAACGACGTCAAAGAGATACACTGGGCAATGTGTTTTTCTTACTAAGCTAGCAGCTATGTGGTTCTTCATTCAGCATCAATTCCTTAATAGCACCAGCATTGTTCAGTGGAAATAATGACACACTTATCAGCAAGAGGTAAAAAGCAAACGTGCGAATTGGTCGATCGATTCTTGCAATTCATTGGACAGAGCAGATAAAATTGCGTTCTGCACTTCAGCGGTCTTGCACTGATATGGCAGCACCGGCTCGATCTCTAAAGCAAACCCGCGAAGCTTTTAAACCTTTGCTATATCTGTGAATTGTTAGCAGATTCGATTGTAAACTGCAGTATATCCTCTGACAGTATGTTTTTTATTTTGTTTATTCATTTGACCCTACTTCACATATTGCTCTGATCCTTGCATTGATTCGGCTACCATTTGAAGACTTCTTCCTCTTCCTGAATGCAGTTCAGTGCTGCTCATGACGAACCATTCTGTATTATTGCTGGAATAGCTGCTACTGAAACAGCTCCATCTCTCAACCACAAAGATAGCCGCTGGCCTTCGTACAGTGAAGCTTTTTGAGATACTAATTTGCCGTTCACTGATGGAAGGAAAAAAAATTGGTTGATCCAGCGCAGGATCGAGGCAGAGAATCATGCGGGTTTTGCACGGCATCTTAAACCATTGCTCCTCCCATGTCCCACTAAACGTATCACCTGTATCACCTGTAGCCGAGTTGATCGCCGTGACTCGAGCGGGCGCCAGGAAATTTTCCATTTTTCCCTGTCGCGTGCAAGAGTAGCCCAGTGGGTTCTGATCGCTCCAGGGAATCGTCGGGCATCATATCTTTCTTCTAGGTCTTTGGTGAAAAACTCTGACCATAGAGTTCGTGGTCTTTCTGCAGTGCGTTTGACATGTCGAGGATTCCAGTCACTAAAGACTCTTGTCCCTTGGTTGTCATTCATACACATTACGTCTCTGAACCACCTTATCTTCGACTGTTTGGCGTACAGAAAGGCATCTTTGATTTTGAATCGTTGACGCAGGACGGAGCTTCGGATCCCTTCGCTTGCTTGTGTGACATGCAATACTCCTAGCATCGTCCTTTCGGCTGCGCGTTCAATAACGCTGAGTGATCTTTCATCCTGCTTACGCAGCGATCAAGTTTCTGACGCATACATTATGGCAGGAAGTACCGTTGTGATGAAAAGTTGCTCACGGAGTTAGGTGTTCTCTATCCTCTTCGGTACATCCTCGATGCTCCTGAAAGCTCCCCGAGCCGCTGTTTTCCTGCTGCTCATATCTGGAGCTAAGTCGTTCAACATGTTGATTTCCTGACCTAGATAGACATAACTGGAGCACTTGGAGATATTCGTTCCGTTGAGGGTGATTTAGGCATACAAAACCAATCCGTTCTTCATGAACATCGTTTTTGTGAGATTTAGTCGAAGACCAGTCTTTCCACAGGCTTTATCAAAGTCAGCAAGCATACGTTCTGCTTGGCTAATGTTTGGTGTTATAAGGACGATGTCATCAGCAAAGCGAAAGTGGTGTAACTGCCGACCATCGATTTTCACACCCATATTATCCCACTCCAATGCTCGCATGACGTTCTGGAGGGTGGCGGTAAATAATTTTGGCGAGATGGTACCGTCTTGCCTTGCCCCTCTTTTGACATCAATGATAATATCGTTGTAGAATGGTGATAACTTTGTTGTAAATTTTTTGTGCCGCAAAAAATCCTTATGTACTGAGTAGGGACTCCTTGACTATCAAGGGCGTCCACGACTGCTTCTATCTCAATGGAACCAAAGGCCTTCTCTAAATCAATGAAAGTGAGACAGAGCGGTCTTTTGTACTCTCGCGATACTTCAATGAGTCTTGTTATCGTGTGAATGTGGTCCATCGTTCTAAATTCTTTTCGAAACCCTGCTTGCTCACATGGTTGTCCTTGGTCCAGTGTTCTCTCAATCCTGTTTAAGATGACTCGAGTGAAAAATTTGTAGAAGACAAACAGCAAGCGGATCGGGCGACAGTTGCCGATATCGTGTAGGTCACTCTTCTTGAACAATAACACGGTCTTGTTGGTCTTCGTCTGAGTAGGGACCTTGCATTCGGACATGTAACAAGTGAAAATCCGAGCCAGTGTGTTTTTGAGGACTGGCGGAAGGTTCTGCAGGTGTTCTGATCTCATCCTGTCTGGACCTGGTGCCGCTCGATTTTTCACCGACGAAACGGCAGGTCGGATTTTGGAAAGGAGAACCGGTGGTACAACATATCCGTCCTCCTTCATTTCATATGACGGAAGGTGGTCGTGGTTATAGAAGAGATGACTTGTACTCGTGATTGATTTTCTTCACTGCCTTTCTGGACACTGTAAATGTTACGTCTGGGAGTCGGAGTGCAATCAATTTGGTCTTGTAACTGGCGAAGCTTCGGTGGATTTTGCGAATGTCTTTCCCAGCCTCTGCAGCTTCGACGATTATTGTTGCTCTTCTCTCAGTAAGATCTTCTTTTATTGCCTGTCTGCATTGTTTTGGAAGTTCGGACGTTAGTTGGCGGTTGCCTGCGGCTCGTGCGACTCCACACTGGCGTATCAGCTCGGGTGTTTCTGGAGACAAACGTCTCCTGGTGACTTTCGAACTGTGAGCTTTCATAGCGCTAAGGTGAAGATGTTGAATGAGCCGATCGTATTCTTCGTAGATGTTATCGACAACGGTATGTTCTCAACAGATGACTAATGAATTGAATAAGTTCCAGTTTACGGTGGTTCTGGGACTTCGGTTTTTGAATTTAGAGGCTTTTTCTCCTTTCCGCTAGAAATAGAATCTTGCACGAAGGGAACGGTGGTCTAATCCCGTGGAGGATTTTGGAACAACAGCTACATCGGTTAGGCAAAACCTTCTATTTACTGTGATGTGGTCTATTTCGTTATGGTACTCTCCATTGGGAGACTCCCACACCCAGTGTTGAAGGTGTGGTTTCTGGAATTGCGTGTTACTATGGATGGCCTTGATCATCGTGATAAAATCAGAGAGCCGCTCACCCTTTTCGTTCCATTCTAATCCGTGGGCCCCGATTAATAGCTATCATAATAATAGCAACGTCTTCTAAGGGTGGCTCTATTTGTAATTTTGTTTATCTCCAAGAAATTAATCGTCTCACCTGCATCGCCTTCCTTAGTCTTGCCGTTATCCTTTCCAGTGATCGCAGAATTCTTTCCTTAAATGCCTGACGACGAAAATTCTGCTTCAATTTACAAACTGTGTCATTCGACTGAAACGATTCCAAAGATAAATTTCGCTATATGCATATATATGTGTATATATATATGTATATATTTTTACGAACTGCCACTTTGAGCTGATGGGAGGTTAGTATCGCTTTGTTGCAACAGTACGGCTCTGAAGGAGGCGAATCCGCCGAAAGATTTGCCATCGAGCAACACCACCATCACCACCACCAACAACAACAACAACAACGACAGCTTATGCCAACTTTGCATCGGCTCAGCAAGGAGAGTTCATAAGAATATATGTAGATAGGCTGATCAGTTGATAGTTCGTCGTGCATGACTCGTTCATCCTTTTTCTGGATAGAACATTGATGGCGTTCGTAAATAGCCAACTATTAGTTTTCTTTGTTACAACAAAACAGGTTCTTCTCTCCACATTCAATTATAGGAGTTTATGTAGAACATTTTACGTTTTTTCAAACTGGAGATACAGATGAAAATCAAGAAACATTCCTTGTGACGTAAAAAAACAGGGCCTTTCCTTAACACCTAGTGCGTGCTTGGTACTGATTTTTCAACGCCTTCTTCAAGTTTTTGGTAACTTGCAGACTTAAAACTTGACAAATTCGTTAAACAGACTTTGTTCAACCGTGCCCTTTTTATGCTGCTCTGATAGCTACGAGTAAGGATTGTGCAGCGTTCTGGGGACATCATTATTTTCCGATGGTCGAAATTCCATTTGTTCAATCATCAATCTGTCGTTCATGAAATGAGTGTCAGAGAGAAAAGAAGAACGGAAGAGAAAAATAATGGATTGACAAATTACAGCAGAACAAAGTTTTATTGTGTAAGAATAAGAAAATTTCTTATCAATGAATGCACAGTATAACCCAAGATTGTATGGAATTCAATGCGGCAATTATACTATTTCCAACCTAGTAAAACATCAAGTTAAATCGTATTTTCCATTATGAGTTAAAAAAACGAAAAATCCATTTTTAATGGTTTGGTGCTCGGTTTAGTTTTTCAAAGGATTCTTGATGTCATGTGTACGTTGGATACGGGAAGTACTGACGCCGTTTTATGGCATGCTCAAGGCCCTACTTCGACCATGCTACTCGCTAATTAAGCATGCCATCTCTTCGGGTTCTGAAAATAAGTTCTAGAATGGTCTGAGAAAAGCTCTCTCCGCTCCAAAAAGACGGGCAACTGCCTGTGGTGAGGACCCTAGAACGATCTAGAGGAAATGTCCCAGGATCTCGGTGCAAACCAACTCCAGCAGCGGTAGAAGACATTTATGAAGGAAACGAAGTCGTCAAATGTCGGTGGGACTTACACACAAAATTCGAAGAGGTTCTTGGATGACGCATATAGTCGAGAAAATAAATAAATAAAATAGATAAAATGCCCATCATCCGCAAAATCTGCATTGTCGGGTGATAGAAATCAATTTTTAGAAAACAAAAACGATACCTTCATTACTTTTCACGAGAGTGTTCACTTTACAATATATGACCTGTAACTCATGTTGACGAAAGTAGAGCAAATGAGTTGGTTGGTTCTAGCTAGAGCATATAACAAACAATGGATAGAGGATCTCGTAAACGAAAATCGCTTTCACCTTATTCCTATCGAATTTCTGGTACTCTGTTAGAGTGCCCGATTGTTCTCTCATGTGCTATGACGTTTGTCTCGATCACAAACTTGAACCACGGAACTGGCAACGATGACCTTGTAATTCTTCATCAAAACATCTTTAAACTTCCCTTTTTCGCTGGGGTTTCCATGTCCTGCTTTAGTTCACTTTACGACTTACAGACAGATCATTCTTTGCTCCTAAGTTTCGCTTTTGTTTCATTCGATAGTCGTAGAACTGTTACAGCTTTTTGTTTTGTTTTGACATCGAAATAGTCGATACAGTGAGTACGTACTCCGATTTTCACTAGGTTTTTCTTTCCTTGAAAGCCTCGACCAACAAATTCATCATGTCGTCCTCATTTTTCTCATTTTCATTTGCTGTCTCTTGACGTTCGACGTTTTTGTGATCCTTATCAATGCAACACCAAAAGATATCTCACTACTGGGAAACGCATTCTCCCCTTGAGTTTCATTCTCTACAACAGGCCCCTTCGTTAGAATTCGTCCCAACTTTACCTTTTTCCCAGTTTTTTGGTGTTATTACAGTTCCCTATCCTTGTCATACGTTGGGTAGGTGTCTGCAGAAACTTTTTGAGAGTTTTCGTTCAAATTGATAAGCATGAGTTAAGATATATTGGTGGGCAGTTGCAGGAGCCCACTATTTCTGAACAAATGCGTTACCACCAATGCGTATCGGGCGTTATGAACGAATACAGGATTCAGAGTAACCCTTTTAAAGGTTCCTTCACTTGTGAACATTCTACGGCGTTATATAGCAAACATCGATAACAGAGACTCGGAAGTCGTAAAAGTATTTATAAGTAAAGTATGTATTTAGAGCGTAAAATATACCCTTGAATCATTTTGATGCCTCTGTTTTAAACTTATTACTTAGTACCTACTGTTTTTAACGGTAGAGTATATTGCGAAATATAACTTCTATGACGCTGAGATATTTGCAAAACTCCGGACCGGAGGTGTCTGCGGTGGGGAACGAACGCGCTATTCTCCTTTCCGGGGAGTAACGCCTTCACCACCAGGCCATGCGAGTTCTTTGTTTCGCTTGTCTATCAGCCTCTTTTTTCGTCCTAGCTCGAAAATTGTTGCGAACGTTTTAGACCATGAGAGAAATTTTCTAGAACACTTTCAGTAACCTTCGTTGAATTTTACTTTCTATTTCGACACTGGCGCGTGTGGCATAGTGGTCGGAGGCGTCCTGCAACACGCACATGGAATCGATCCCTGGGCCCATGGCCCACAGAGCCTTCCATCCCTCCGAGTTCGGCAAATTGGTACCAGACCGGTCTAGGAGGTTAGCTGCACTGGCTCGATAGATCGGTAGGCCAGCACGACTCATTGTAAAGGCCAGATATGCATTCAATCATCTCATAACGATGCTTTATGAAGTCGAATGCATGGCGCATCCGTCAGGGATTAATCAACGCCCAGAGCTTTTATCCTTTATCCCTTTATTTCGGCATTGGTCTCTTCCTGTTTATATTTAAAAGATTTTTATTGCTTTGGAATGCTGTTCAGTTCAATGTTAACGTGTAGTGTTTTGTTGTTATGGAAACTTTATTCAGAGATTTTCTGTGTTCAGAGATTTTCGCCTTTTTTCTTTTGAAAAAACATGATTAAATGCTTGAAACTCCTTTGGAGTGTCATCAAGTGTCTCATGTTGTCACTCTAATGTCTACCTCCTTTAATGAGGAGCAGAACGAAAATCGTTCGATCAACAACGACGGGGTACACGAACAATCCCCACCCCCGTTCCATTACTCTTCCAGCCACACATGCTAGTAGAACATATAGTTATCAGACTACATAAACATGTTATTTGTGATTTTCTTCGTATTTCTGTTGAGCAAACGCGAGGTGTTACTATTCTTTGTTCACGATAAAGCTGACGTTTCGGCGGATTTCGCCTTCTTCAGAGAGAGACCTCGCGTAGAGAGTAGAGACCAACCGCACAGAAATCACGTAGAAGTATAATGTGATTATACTATACTTCCACGTGATTTCTGTGCGGTTTGTCTCTACGTGACATACTTAGTGGAAACCTCATAGAAAGCGGCTCTGAAGAAGGCGAAATTCGCCGAAACGTCAGCTTAATCGTGAACAAAGAATAGTAACACCTCGCGTTTGCTCAACAAAAATACGAAGAAAATCACTTGATCAATGCCAAGGTTAATAGAAAGTCGGTCGTGGCATGTTATTTGTGAATTTGATCCATGAGAAGTCACTTTGTAACACTGATATGCGTATTATTTAGAATTCCTTATATTCTATGTAGCAGAGTTCGTCCTTATAAGGCACTTTGATAACGACCTCATTCTTTAGTGCAGTTTGTCCACTGCGTTAGGATATACCGCTATTGGAATTATGTATCTTTTACGATTACGATAACATGTGATTAAACTTGTTCTCTTTTCATGAATGTCTTTACTTGCTTATGTTTTTCAGATGAACTCATTTACGCTGGCTGAAAAGTTGTTCCGTGGCTTTTTTGTGGGCGCTTAAATTTTTCAATAATGTCAGCAGATCTTCAACGGTGTCAGAAATGAGTCTAAGGCTTTTATTGGAAAGCAAGAGAACTTCTTCACAAATGAAATGCTACTTTACTACAAAGTCCCAGTTTTTCATTGAATCATCATTTCGCCAGCATTCACAATGGCGCAGGATTTATTGAAAATGAACCGCTAACTACTTTCTAACTGGCGCAAAGCTCCCCTCTTCGGTAGTTGGCTAACGGGAACTACCTGATAAGGCGATAATCAAGCCCGTTAAGACGTTCCGTTTATTTGATATCGATCTGATAGCATTGTGTTCCTTCAGCCCTTCCTTTTGTCACTTTCTGGCTTCTTTCTTACCTTTCTTTCTTTGTGACTAACATGAACTCGTAGCTCGAGTGGTAAATGAAATTCGATGTATCTTCAATAAGCATAACAAGTGGAGCGTTATCAGGTCGAAACATTTTAGTGTAGCAGTTGATAATCTTTTTCTGACGACCGAGTACCAAGCAAAAGATAGCTTGACGAAAGTACGTTACTTTGTAAGAGTCGAAATGGTAAACGACAGCTGCACATCAAAAACAACAGCGCCGAAATACTTTAAGAATCCTTTCTAAAAAATAATTGATGATCTTTCGTGTGTACAAAGGGTGAAGAGCTTGCCTTGACTGCTTCAGTGAGATCATTTCGAAGTTGATGTAACAAATACAAACCAGAAAGAGTGAAAGCATAAATATAGCTCCATGTTAGATTTACAACTTAAGAGATTGCAATCCCTCAGCCGTTTTGGAGCAGGTTAGAGCTGTACTATTACTTGGATACTTGGATACTTAGATGGTCCGTCTTCAAGAGCTGTGCGGGCCCCAGCACATATGCCATTCGTTCTTTTCTCTCGCAATCGTAGTCCATGGTGGTGGTTTTGTTCGAGCATAGTAGCACTTGCAAGTCTCACACCGTGATCTGTAAAACAACTGCAGTTGCGGGTACAGCTGATCAACTTTGTTTACGAACACGTCCGCCCAACGTGTAGGTGGTCGCCCAAGGGGACGTTTGCTTTCTCTTGGAGTCCACTTCACTGTTCTTTTCGTCCATCTGTCGTTTGTTCCTCTCATTATGTGACCAGCCCATCTATGTTTCGCTGTCGATGTATATTCTCCTGGATCTTGAAGATGTTACAGATTTCGAAGGTCAGAGCTTCGCACTCCGGCTACATACTGGGAGTGCCGGTTATATTTCAGAAGACATCGCTCAAGCGCTCTGTGAGTAATTCTTTCTACTTCTGTTCAGCAAACACGAGGTGTTGCTTTATTTCTTTATTTACGTACAAGCTGACGTTTCGGCGGATTTCGCCTTCCTCAGAGACTGGAAAGGTCAAGTTGACTACAATCTACACGGCCAAACACCTAACTAAACACAGAAATTGCTGAACCAAAATTTCAGTCACATAGAACACGGACTCTTTGCACACTCACCGCTTTCTATGAGTCTTCCACTGAGTATGTCGCGTGAAGAAAAACCGCACAGAATTCACACGGAATCGAATTGTGCCCATCTCATCAAAATAGCAGGCTTATATACTGTCCAATATCACGCATGATAATGAGGCATTCCTCGCCGCGGTTCATTTTTGGATTTCTGGAATCAATCCAGAATGCCTCGAGAGTTTTGCGCGCTTGTGTTCTTGATTCCTGTGCGTGGATCGTAACACGAACTTCAAAGTCCTCCCCGTTATGTCTCTGGGTCCTATGCGTGCCTAGTGGAGTATTTGGTAGAGGTTTGCCGACTAGGTGTTCTTTTATACGTGCGCAGAGTGGTCTATCCGTTTCGCCAATGTATTGGTCTCCGCACGCCTTACAGGAGATCAGATAAACTATACCCGAACTCTTGCAGTCACCGTCTCTACCACTGGGGCAAATTATGTAATTTTGCGTTGCACATAGACGGTCACATAGGCGGTTACGAACTAGCTGGCGCCTAAGATTATTCGGTGCCATTTCAACTACGTTTACCGAATTCTCTAGACCCGCCCTTCTTATGCAGCGTTTTATAGCTGTACTTACACCATTTGAGATGAAGGGTAGGATAAACGGGACCTTATTCGACCGTATTCTGTCAATCAGAAGAAGGTCCCTACTTGACACATTGGTAGTCCCGTCATTCTGTACTGGTTCCGATCACCGTCTTCTTCGCGCGAAGATTCGATTCAGCGACAAGCTGGAAAAGAACTCTCTTCATCGACCACGAGACAAAAGTTTAGCTGTATACGACGACAACATTCTAAACGAAGTCATGTCCAAACGTGATTGACAGATTAAAGAAAACGCGACCGAAGACTACGAGCTGCTTGTCGAAGGACTGAAAAGCTGTGCCGAATTCGCCTGTTCCTCAAGCAAGAAGATAGGATCGCATCACAAAGGAGTTGCTCTAAAAGCGAAGAAAACTGAAGCTTGAAGCAGCTGAGCCAGCTTTGCATGAAGATCTACAACGGTACAAGCAGAAGAAAATACTGGAAGCAGCAAGAAAAGAAGCAGTCTGAAAGAATGGGACCGCCGGGACTTGTGTGATTGTAAGAGTTCTGCGCGCTTGTGTTCTCGATTCTTGCGCGAGGATCGTAACCCCTACTTGAAAATCTTCTCCGTTATGTCTCTGCGTTCTATGCGTGCCTAGTGGAGTAATTGCTTTATCTTTGCCGACTAGGTGTTCTTTTATACGTACGCAGAGTTGTCTACCCGTTTCGCCAACGTATTCGTCCCCGCACGCCTTACAGGAGATCAGATAAACTACACCCGAACTCTTGCAGTCACCGTCTCTACCATTGGGGCATATTATGCAATTTTGTGTTGCACATAGACGGTCGTATAGGCGGTTACGAACTAGCTGGCGCCTTAGATTATTCGGTGGTATTTCGATTATCGTTGCCGAATTCTATAGACTGGCCCTTCAGGCTACCAGCGTGTGCACAGCAAGACAGCAGAGAGAGGAGTCCCGTAACTTGGCGAGGCAAACAGCCATTTTTAATGGCTACGAAACTGTAGCTCGTGATAGGTGTAGAGGAAACCACAGGTACCCCAACGATAACTCTAGCGACAACAAGGTCCCGTTTATACTGCCCTTTATTTCAAATGAAGTAAGTGCAGCTATAAAACGCTGTTTAAGAAGGGCCAGTCTAGAGAATTCGGCAACGATAATCGAAATACCACCGAATAATCTAGGGCGCCAGCTAGTTCGTAACCGCCTATACGACCGTCTATGTGCAACACAAAATTGCATAATATGCCCCAATGGTAGAGACGGTGACTGCAAGAGTTCGGGTATAGTTTATCTGATCTCCTGTAAGGCGTGCGGGGACGAATACGTTGGCGAAACGGGTAGACAACTCTGCGTACGTATAAAAGAACACCTAGTCGGCAAAGATAAAGCAATTACTCCACTAGGCACGCATAGAACGCAGAGACATAACGGAGAAGATTTTCAAGTAGGGGTTACGATCCTCGCGCAAGAATCGAGAACACAAGCGCGCAGAACTCTTGAGGCATTCCGGATTAATTTCAAGAATCCGAAAATGAACCGCAGGGAGTAATGCCTCATTATCACGCGTGATATTGGGCAGTATATAAGCCTGTTAGTTTGATGAGATGGGCACAATACGATTCCGTGTGAACTCTATGCGGTTGGTCTCCACGTGATATTTTGAGTGGAAAACTCATAGAAAGCGGTGAGTGTGCAAAGACTCTGTGTTCAGTGTGATTGAAATTTTGGTTCAGCATTTTCTCTGTTTGGTTATGGAGGTGTTTGGCCGAGTAGGTTGTAGTCAACTTGACCTTTCCAGGCTCTGAGGAAGACGAAATCCGCCGAAACGTCAGCTTGTACGTTAATAAAGAAATAAAGTAACACCTCGCGTTTGCTGAATAAAAGTGGAAAGCATTCCGCGGTTAATAGAAAGTCGGACTTGGGAGTTGCTCTGTGAGTAGTTCGAAGTATTCTTGACGTAGTTGAAGTATCAACCCACGTCTCTGCAGTATAACAGAGTGCTAGAAAGACCGTAGAATCAAAAAGATAAGCGCGGATTTTCGGGTCCTTCAGTTGGTCGGTGGCATCTTTGAGAGGCCCAAATGCGGCCCAAGCTTCTCTCCTTCTTCTATCTAGTTCCTCCTTCATTTTCTTTTCCATGTACATTGATCGCGCAAGGTAAACGTGCGAGGTGGTCTCTGCAATGAGAGAACTATCCAATTGAATTTTTTCGCTTTCGCACCATGGGTTTCTTGTGAATTGGGTGTTCTTTTGATTTGTGCGAAGTCCAATCTTTTTCCCCGTTTCGGTGAGCTCGTTTACCATCACCTCTGCTTCGCTAGTACTTCTTGAAAATATGATAATGTCGTCGGTAAAACGAAGGTTTGATAGGAATTGTCCATCAATACGTATGCCTTTCTCATCGCAATCAAGTGACTTCATTATCCACTGCAGTGCGGCACTGAACAGCTTTGGCGATATTGTGTCGCCCTGTCGAACATCTTTTCCTGTGGGTATTGTAAGAGGTCGATGGAAAAGCTGTATTTTCGCAGTGCGGTTCCGATAACAGTCGGACAGAGTCCTTATGTAGGACGGGCCCACTCCTTGGTCGACGAGTGCTGATAGGATTGCATTCGTTTCGACAGTGTCAAACGCTTCCTCATAGTCGACAAAGGTTTTGGCATACGTCGGTCTTCTTGATTTTTGTTTCTTGTAATGCGATCACATGAAATTTAATGCGATCTGCGGCTACAAGAAGGGCGTGAAGATCGGCGTCTGTGGAGAGTGTTCTGGCGTTATATGTACATAGTAAGAAACAATCTCCATGGCGTATCGTGCGTGTGTTCGTCAGATCCGGTCCCAATGACGTCTTGCGTTTTTTTCCCGAGATTTTCTGGCTTCTCACTGGTCGTCTCACCGCCTGACGTCATAGACAGGAGCACCTAGTGTGCGGGATACTGAGGCTGGCCTATTGCTGGTCGTGCAACTTGGTCCTCCCTGGAGTCCTGTCGTAGCCTTGCAAAGGCGTATCTAGGTATTCACCACGATATGGACCAGAGGGAGATGTGTTTTCGGCGACGAATCCTTCGCTCGGTCTTCCTACTAGTTGATTCGGAGAGATGTTAAAACCGAAATCGGAAACGAAAGTAGGAATGTAAAATTAACCGACCGCTCAAGCCGAGCAGTACTATTTCACCTTCCTATTCCCTTTTCTCTTCTTCTTGTTCCTGTTCTTCTCTCCCTCTCGTTGTTTGTAGTTTCCTCCGCGGCGATACTCGTTGACAATGACAGATAATAAGAACGAAGAAGTCACACCACCGATGGCGGAGATCGGAAGACTTTCCTGTAGTAGTCAGAAGGATTTGTAATCTATCCTAATAACAAGCTATGACCTCAGAACGAAGAATTAGACTTTTGCGATGAAGCACATTTCTGTTCAAGTGCTAACGATTGTATACCGTATTACTTCCTATTACAAACTAAGCAATAGTGAATAAGTATAGTTTTGGATAAGATATATTACACATGTTACTTTAATGTGACAACTATTCTGACATAAGGGTTTTGTATAAGTCTTTTATAAAGCGATACACATTGATAGACCAGGTGAACACCTTCAATACTAAAACCCACTTTAGCTAACAAATCGCTGTCTTACTCTGTTGGCCTTGCTATAATACTAAAAAGGTATGAAATACAGATTAGATACTTGGATCCTACTAAATCCACCAAGGCACCACACTTCTTCACCGACAACAACCTGACTACGCGCAGTCACTGTAAAAAAACTCGTCCCATACGATGTACTTCATTATATGAGCCTGTACTGTTGAAATCTACTTTGATCAAACAACGTCTATATGACGTTTATGTTGTTGACAAGGTGCAGCTATCACTGTTCTTCGTCGTTCGTTCGTCATTTTGCACTCGTTGATCGACACATCACTGCACAATTCACTTCTAAACGACTTGCTTGAATATTTTGTAGAAATGCTCCTATTGCACCAAAGAATCTGGCAAAGCGACAATCTGTAGTGTTGTTCTTTTATGTACGTTACATCTCACTTCTACCTACATCACTATTTTAGAAAGTAACCTTTGTGTTTTTAAATCTTACTGATCACCAAGCAGACTTCTAAAACAGCGGTGTTGTCATTTGTTCTTGGTCTTCGGTAATGATGACGATGATGATGATGGTGATAAACAACTAGCGGAAACACATCTCATTTGGAAAATATGTTCGTCTACGATTGGACAGACACTACAATGCCAGGAATACAGCAGCAGCTGCGAGGTCCGCGAGCGGCAGTCGGCGAGGGTGGCGGCGGAACAGCCTTTCGGCGTTACATTCAGCCGTTTTCGCTTCGTGCACTAAGCGGCTGACTACACCGCCACCTCGTCGGGGTGAGCTCATTGACACATCTAGACCTCTTTTTCCTCTTCTTCCTCATTCCATTCACCCACAGCTGCTTCCGTCAGAGGAATTCATTTCTCTCATTCTATTAAATTCTACTTGGGATGTATATATAAACGGACATCATCTGAAGGAGTTGCTGCTTCTATGCATTCTCATTAGAAGCAGAGCCATTTGGTTATTTTTGAATTTCACAGAAGCTGGGATAAACTGAGACACGCGCTGGAGCCAGTTTATGATGCCTATTTACTTTGCTAAAAAGTAGAGTATTCAGCAGTCAATATTGTGCTGGTTGATAACAATAGGCTGTTTTTATATTCTCTTGAGATATCAACCATTATTTCCATGATCCATTACCAGTTAATACATATCCATAACCTGCTCCAGTGTACTGTCTCTTTGTTTTTTCTTTCTTCCTTTTTTATCTCCGTTTTCTGCCCATCTCATTTGTTCACCGTAATCTTTCAAGATAATCATTTATGTGTTCTGCTACCACCAAACAACTTTTTTCGCATTACGACCATCTCCTGTTTTGTTCTCCGCTTTCATATTTCAACTACGAGTTCGAACCAATGCATATATCCATTCATTTTCAGTAAAACCTGAACGATTCTCGTTGAACTTGTCGGAGCTGGTGGCAACTAAGGCGTTACTGACATTCATCTACCTTATTCTGTCATTTTTTCTTTTTCTTTGAATCTTAACTGATACACATGGATTCGTCAGATACTCGAAAAAGGTGTGTATTCATTTAGTTTCAGTATTCTTAGTCATTAGATGTGTTATTGGTTTTCTGTCTTTTCGTATCAGTCCAGTTTTCGAACGTAGTCATCCGCCATCAAATCGTTTTTATGTGCTTTACGTCACTTGCACTTGTTGAACCGGAACGACATTCTAGCACATTTGAGCTTTAACCGCAAAAATTTTTTACGACTAACACATTTACTACTTGTACATGGACGACCACCGTTCATTTTGTAGAGGTAAAAAGGAAACCCTTGAACTTCATCGCGATTTTAACATGCTAAATGCCGATCTTTTCGACACAGCGCTATAGATTAAGAATCACTTTATCCAACTAGAGATGTAATGTTTCTACTAACGCTATATTCTTTACTACAGTTTATCTGCCAAACATACTGCTGTCAGAATTTGCAAGGATTCTGCTATATATGTTGAAAGCACTTCGCCATTCCTTCTCACCGACCACTGCGTACGATAATCATGACTTATCACAACTGTTGGAAATGAAAAAGCGGTGAATTCACCTGTATTGCCTGTAGTCCCGTTGATCGTCGAGTGACTCGATCGGGCGCTAGTAAATCTTCCATTTTTCCGTGTCGCGTGCAAGAGTAGCCCAGTGGGTTCTGCTCGCTCTAGGGAGTCGTTGAGCATCATATCTTTCTTCTAGGTTTTTCGTGAAGAACTCTGACCATCGAATCGGTGGTCTTCCTGCAGTGCGCTTGACGTCCCAAACAGTCAATTCAGTCAATGACGGCTGTTGTGCATCAGATGTCATTACGAATGAAAATGAAAAAGCAGTGAACTACTGGTAAAAAATTGGATTTTGAACACAAGCGACCATGATTTTTTTTCCAATAGCTACCGACTGTCTCCGAAAACTAGAAGACCTACCAAACTGACGGTTCCACATGTATGTAGGAGAGACTTCATGCTATTTAAGTAGAAGAACCATTTCTGCACCGCTTCGTTCACCACAACTTTTATTCTGCATAGTCTGGACAACATCAATAGTCTCTTACCATGAAATAACTCGTCCAAAAGGGTTTTTTTTTCATAAGTGCTGATAATGGCTTTTCATGAGCCACACCTAATTTTATTTCTATGGTTAGCAAGCTATCGAATGAATGAAAAGGTATGGGAAAAAACCTCTATAAAATACTGAATAGGCATGTATCCATTTCGGTACATGTGGTCTGCTATGTGTTCGGCGCAGTTCCGGTCTTTCCATTTCTGTTTCTGCAGGAAATATCCGACTTACTTATTACCGTTGAAAAATGTCAATAGCTAGTTTTTCATAAATTTCAACGCTCCATAATACCATTGGATCTCGACGAAGAAGGGCGTAGAATCACTTATGACATGGGGAAATAATATCTTGATTGAATGCGTCGATAGAGGTTTCATTTTTGGCTGCTCATCATAAAACTGGTTACTGTTGTTAAGTCTGTGCGATTATGTACATACATTACTAGTGCTACGGATTTTTCACATCTATTCTTGTTGGCTCAGGATTTTTGCTCTTTTTCCCATAAACCTGAGTATTTTGACAACCGTCTCCAATGAGTACTGTTGAGCTACTTACATTATGAAAGATTTGCATCTTTACTTCCCTAGTTGGATACGTCGATGGACCATCATCACTGATTGTGCGGCGTCCAGCGTAATCTCCATTTTTCGGAGTTTAGCTGGTTTAGCCATTGTATTTCCCTGGTATCCCGAAGTAAATCTGGGCAAAGTCTGCTCTAGGTCGTCACTACCTCGGGCAGTCGCCGCTTTTGTGGATCAGAAGGAGATTTGCTACCATGCAACTAATTTGGTATCAGGACGGTGTCGGATCCTGGTATTTACATCTTTAGTAATCCTTTTCTTCAAAACCTATGCAGTTGATATGTCAGAGCTCCTATATGTCAGAGTTGATACCAAGAACTTCCAACTGCGTTGGATTTCGAATCCAGTGAGTAGAAAATCTTGATTGACAAATGTTATGGTAATAAATCAACTTTACTAGCGGCCCATTTTGCTGAATTTTCCTTAAGCATTTCTTGTCTATGATATATAGATAACGTATTAGTATCGTCACCGTTATTTTGTTAATTTATGATTGTCTTTTTTACGGTTGTCAACTCTTCGGAAGAAAATTGTCCGCTTTCATTTTTCCAGTGATTCTGAGATATACGGCATCTGTGCACGTTAAAATCGTCCATTGTAACGGGATATTTGCTATGTGAGATAGGTAAATATGTTCTAATAGAGATTAACTCCTTTTTTAGAAAGTGCTTTAGTTGTTGTTATTGAATGCATCTCAGTATACCGTCTATAGGTCCTTCAGTTATCCTAGGTTGAATCGATTTTCAAGTCCTTGAATTGCTTGCAGGCACAAATTGATTTCTAGATAGTCCTGTGAATACTGAAACTCCATCAAATCTGCCTATACTTTCCACATGACCTAAAATCACGTGTTCTACGGATCCCAACGGTTTTTTCACTTGATTTGTTTCTTCGCATCCATCATCACTAATGTTTCCGGATTTTCGTGTTGGTTCTGCCGTTGCTTGACGATCTTTTTATTTTTTTTTCCTTGAAGGCCCTTAGTCTTCCTAATGAATGTCGTTAAATACGGCTCGAGTTGATTCTGCTTAACAATCAGAACAGCCATGCTAAGAGATTACTACGCCTTCACCACTGGCTGGCACCTACGTTTCTGTACCGGAAGCAAATCTTCCCAGACAAATATGGTCTCAATTTAGCGACCGCGGAGGAATAGGAGGCATGGTTGGCCGGAAGCGAGAAGGAGCCATAGCCTTGTGCATACCACTGAACGGTGCGTTCTTGCATGCTTGGAAGTCTTTGGCCCATGCTCACTAGCAGTGCAGACCCCAGCACTCTTCATTCGTATCATTTTTGCGCAGTCGTTATTCATAGTAGTGGTCTTCTTCGAACGTGGTAATGTCCGCTAGACACATTCCATAATCCTGAAGACGTTTTCATTTCCGGATTTATATGATTGAGGTAGGCACGTCAACCATCGTTTGAATGATCGTCTGACAGGACGTTTGCATTCTCTTGGAGTCTAATTCACTGTTCCTCTCGCTATCTATCATATATTCTTATTATGTGACCGGCCCACCTACGTTTTGCTATGGTGTTGTATTCTCGTGGATCGCGAAGATAGATTAGGTTTCCATGAGCTGCGTACTCCGGCTAGAAGTT